AGATTTAAAGATTTTAACCAGTCTGGTAAGTGTGATTTATTTTTGACAGATGATCATTCTGGCTTTGCTGTGTAGAGAATATGCTATAAAGGGGCAAGAGTAGAAGCTGGAAAGATGCTAAACATCATTTATCATCAAGGAAATGCAAGTCAAAAGCACAATAAGATACTATTTCATACCCATTAGGGTAACTGTAATCTAAAAGGTAATCACAAGTGTTGTTGAGAATGTGAAGAAATTGAAATTCTCATACATTGCTGGTAGGAATATAAAATGATATTGCCACTTTGGAAAAGTTTGACTGTTCCTCAGAATATTAAACACAGTTATATGACCCAGTAATTCCACTATAGGTATCTACCCAAGAAAAATGAAAACGTACATCCATACAAAAACTTGTATACAATGTTCATATCAACACTAATCATAAGAGCTAAAAGGTAGCAACAATCCAAATGCCCATCAACTGATGAATGGATGAATAAAATGTGATATATCCATGTAATGGAATATTATTCAGCAATACAAAGGAGTGAATTACTGATACATGAATTGCATGCTATGGTGTGGCTAACCTTGAAAACATTATAAGTAAAAGAAGCCAATCATAAAAGACTATGTGTTATTTGATCCCATTTATAGAAATGTCCAGAATAGGCAAATACATAGGGACCAAAAGCATATTAGTGCTTTCCAGGGATTAGGAGGAGAAGAGGAATGTAGAGTGACTGCTAGTGAGTACAGGGTTTTCTTTATGGGATGATTAAAAATATCAAAAGTTAGATTGCAGAAATGATTGTACAGTTCTGTGACTATACAAAATATCATTGAATTGTACACTTTATATGATGAATTGTATAGTACACGAATTACATATGTTAAAAAATGGAATGACAAACATTTTGTTTACTAAAGCATATACTGCAACTTTTAGTGTGCCAGATAATATAATCAATTCACAAATCTGTGAAAGGGTTTACAAAGCAGAACGTAAAACAGTGGAAGCAGGGAGACCATTTAGGAAACTGTGAGAGTAGTTCAGGCGAGAGATGGTGGTGCTTGGGATAGGAAGGTGGTGGTGGAAATAGTGAGAAGCCCTGATTGGGGATATATTTAGAAGGGAGAGCATGACAGGATTTACTGATGATTGGACATCATGAGTAAGGAAGAGAGACAAATTAAGCGTGAGTATCTGAACCACTGTGATGAGCAGACATTTCTTGTAGGAATTTTCTCATTCTTAAAATCCTGAAGTGTGACAAAATTCCAGCTTCTTCTAGGAATCCTTCCCCTCCCTTTTAGCTATTGTTTGCCCCTACTGAAGGAGAAGCAGCTAGAAAATGAATGAACCATTAAATTTTATTTATTTAAAGACAAGACATACAACTGCTAAGTTAGTTGGTTCTTCTGATTAATGTTATTAAGGATGTCACCCTGAAATAGGCTGTTTATATTCAGAATGTGCAAAAATAGATGAAGCTTTAAAAATTTTTGCTTAATGTGCACTTTGCCCTTTTCCTCTGCAGTTCGTTCTATTGGCTCTATTGCACTTAGAAAAGCAGAAGACATTGATTTCAAGTACCACTTTGACTTCTTCAGTGTGAATTTCAATGAAGAACTAGTGGCACTGTATGGTGGAAGTCTTCAGAAGCAGACCAAGTTTGTACATGAATGCATTAAAACAATTCTCAAACTCTACAAGGTATGAGATAATCATGCAGGTCAACGGTGATCAACCTGTTAGCATCAATTTTTTTGTTACTGTTGAAGGGACTCAGCCTATTTTAAATCATTTGTCTATTTATGAAGCAAAAAGATGGCACAAAGTTTTTGTGTGTCTGGGAGCCTGTTTTGAACTCTGGTAGGTTTTGAAGTTCAAGTTGAATTTACAAGAATTCTTTCTTGTGGTGAATTTTGGAAAAAGAATTATTTTAACTTTATGTATAAAATAGGACTGCAGTGCCTTTCCTAAATACCATTGGTATGGATTTCTGCTTTGAGTTTTGGCTAAATAACTGGTACTAGAATAGACCATTTCCATATGTAAACGACTCAAAAACTAGCTAAGGCATCTGAAGCACATGCTTTCAGGTGTTGAACAAGCAAACAGTAGAGGACTGTGATCCCCGAAAGAAGGAGAACGTGTCAAGTGAGCTACACAAGTGCCCTCGCCTTCTACCTGGAAGCGTTTTCCACACTATGGGGTAAACTTTAGAGATCTAGCAGAGCATACTGATAGCACTAAATTGGAGAAGGCGGAGACTGGACTTTGGGGCTACTGAAATGGCTAGGCTTGTGGTCAGGGTATGAGAAAGAAGAGAACTAGACAGAGATAGGAGCCCTAGAAATTTGCATTTTTCCATCTTTGCTACAGTGCTGCACTGCATATGCACAGGGCAAGAAGCTACAAGACGAGGGCATACCAGGGAAGAAATGGTGAGGTGTGGGTACTTTAGGTACAAGGAATAAGGGGAGATAAATGTTTAGAGAAATTTAAAAGAGCACTGAAACAGACTAAAAATCATTCTGTGCCAGCTATTCTAAACAGTGTCAGAGATAAAATACTACTCCCGGCTGGCGTGAGTCACTTTCTCCCTTGGTACGCCACTGCTCAAGTCCTGGCAAAACACAGTGGGAAATTATGAGCTGAATTGATATTTCAGAGGCCACATGGTGCTGGGAAACAGGAGTTCTGACCAGCTACTTCAGAAAGACCTATCTGAACATTCATTTGAGACCCCAGAAAGGTTATGATTTAGGGAAAGGACTACTCTATCCCTAAAGTAAGAGCTACTCTGGGATCTACTTTATTAGTGCTTACATGTAAGCCTCAAAAACTTTGAAGTTAACGATTTAGAGTAAAAGGTGCCTACAGCAAAGGAACAGATAGGGAATCTCAGCAGAGACATGGAAACTATTTCTAAAAAGAACAAAAAGGGAAAAATCTAGAAGTGAAACAATACATATCAGAAAAGAAAAATTCAGCTGCTAGAGTTTCAGCAGATTGAACACTACAGAACAAGATACTGAATTTGAAGACAGGACAATTAAAAACTGTCCACAGTGAAGCACAGAGAATGAAAGGATGGGAAGGATAGGGCCATAGGAGCCTGTGGGACAGTGCTAAGTGGTCTAACGTGTGTGATTGGAACCCTGGGAGAAGAGAGAAATGGGAGGAAAAAATATTCAAAGAACCTATGGTCCCAAATTTTCCAATTTTGAGTAAAAAATTTCAACCCACAGATCAGGAAGGTCAATGAATGTCAAGCAGGATAAACACAAAATCACTGAAGTTTATCAGAGTCAAATTATTCAAAACCAAAGTAAAGAGAAAAATCTTAAAGCAGCCAGAGAAAAAAAGACTCTTTACCTACAGGGAAAACAATAAAAATTACCACTGTTTTCCATCAGAAATAATGAAAGCCAGAAACAACAGAAGACCATCTTAAAGGTCTTTGGAGCAGGTGGGGTGGAAGTAAACTCTTGACCTACAATTACATACCCAGCAAAAATATCCTTCAAAACTGTGGCAAAATAAAGACATTGTCAGAGTAACAAAAGTGGCAGTTTTGTGATTAGTAGAAGGGAGAGGGAAATAAAAAATTACCATTAGGTGAGCAACATAGTAATAATTGCCTGAGGTAAGATTCATCCATCAAATGCTAAAATCAGTGGATGAAAGTTTGAGGAGAAAAGGATATTCACATGGTTTCACAGTATCTTTTCTAAAATATTTATCAACTACAAAGGGAAAGAACTTCACAATGAAGAAACCTGGCAGACATCATCTTAACTGAGGCTAACATTACCAGTAATAGGACCTTTTGATATCATGAATCCCCTTGACATGATGCAACATAATTTCTGTGGCATTGCTGTCAAAAATGTATAACCTCATTCTAATCATGAGAAAACTTCAGACAAACCCAAATTGAGAGATGTGCTACAACATGACTAACCAGTATTCTTCAAAAGTAACAAGTTCATAAAAGAGGAAAGACTGAAGAACTATCACAGATTAGAGGAGACTAAGGAGAAATAACAATGAAGGCAAGGTGGGATGCTGGGTAGAATCCTGAATTAGAAAAAGTACATTAGGGGGAAAACTAGTGAGACTTAAGTTAGGTTTGCAGTTAATACTGTTGCACCAATGTTAATGTCTTGATTTTGATAATTGTAATATGGTTATAGAAAGTGTTAACATCAGAGGAAATTAGGGGAGAGGTTTATGGAACTTTCTGTGCTATTTTACAACTTTTCTCTGGTTCAAAGTTACAAGGTTAAAGAATTTATTTACAGTAAAAAAATGCATTGAGGTTTATAATTCATTTAGAAGGAAAATACATAGTAATGGTGAAGAAGATGAGAAGAGGAATAAATAGAACTATTCCACTGTAGTAAGAAACATACTAATTCATGATAGACTGGTAAGTTAAGGTTACAAGACTGATAAGGTTACATATTATAATTTATGGAGTAACAACAACAAAAAAGATGTAGCTAAAGAGCAAATGGAGGAGAAATACAATTATACCTCAGAGATATCATGGGTTCAGTTCCAGACCACTAGAATAAGGCAAATATCATGATAAAGCGAGTCACATGAATTTTTTGGTTTCCCAGTGCATATAAAAGTTATGTTTACACTATACTGGAGTCAATTAACTGCAATAGCATTATGTCTTAAAAAACAATGTACATAGCTTAATTTTTAAAATTGCTTAAAAATGCTGCCCACTATCTGAGCCTTCAAGTCATGGTAGTAACATCAGAGATCACTGATCACAGATCACCATAACAAGTAAAATAATGATGGAAAAGTTTGAAATACTGTGAGAATTACCAAAATGTGA